ATAAAGTAACTGGGGTTATGAGGGTAGGTGTGTTGCAATCAGTGAGACTGGCTCAGTATAGGGCAGGCTTCAGAACTGTTGTACACAGTAATGCTATGAGTTTCAGGTGACTCGATGGCACATAACAACATTAGCAAAGAGATCCGGTGACAGTATTACATGTTGGAATGCTAATTAAAATTTTGGAGGCAGAAATCCATCAGTTTCTCTGAGAAAAAAAGAAAAGGCAGTTTGCTCCAATATAGATTTACAGGTCAAGAGATGAGACTGAGAGACACTATATTATAGACTGATGCAAAGGCCATGAGTTTGGTTTTGGTTTTATAAGTTTTAAAGAAAACGTAGATGTTAATGTCAAAATAACTCACCCTTTTCTTGTCCAGCCAACCAAAAATTTCATATGTGTTCCTTGATAGGTATGAGTATGTGCTGGTGTATGCTTAAACATACAGAGACATTAACATATTTTATATACTGGAATATACAGAGAGATATAGATACCCATACATATGAGTATAACCAACTTTGACAGATTTTACAGTTTCCTTTTTATATTTACAGACTACTTTAGGATTATTCTCTTATTAATTGCATTCTCTCTTCAGGACTTTGTTATGTAAGTTAATCTTTATTCGAAGAGAATGAACATTTTGTATTTTCTTCTAGTTATTCAGCCTACTCTTTTCTTAATACCTCAGCAGGTTGCTTATTCTTAAAACCAAAAATTTCTTGAAACCAGCAGCAAATAAACTCTCGTTGCTTCTTAGCTAATGAGAGCAAAGTGTGAAAGGGGTTGTAATTTTACACATAATTTCATTAGGTTATAAAAGCAGTGGTAGTTGCTGAGTATTATTACAGAGCACCAGGAAAGTACAGCATTTTTCACCGAGATATTACAGTGTTTTATACCTAGCAATTTCTCTTCTTTACCACATACAAGTTAGTTTCTTATTTTCTATGCAAGTTTGTGATCAAGGAACTAAGAAAATTATTTGGGACTTGGGCAGGGAAAGGAGAGAAAGCATAATCTGAAAGCAATTCTGGAAATGGAATGTATCGTTTACCCCCCCCCCACACACGTAATATTCTACATTTGAAGGAGAGATTATCTTATTTATTTTCTGACCATTTAACATTGGGCATTTGACCGTAAACTTAAAACTTTTATTCTTATTTTTAAGATGAGATGAGAAAGAATATTATACATAAGACCTTGGATGTCAAAACATTGAGATAACTCCACCTGAGAAAGTTGTGATCTTCTCAAAGAAACTCAATATTTAGTGCTGCTTGGATTTCCCCTTGATCAAATGGTAGGGTTCTGAGTCTCAATATCTCCCCTGATTTTACAGAAATCCCATGTTTTCTAAATCTTAAAAGCAAGATAAGAATCCAAAGGTCAAGAGAGACTTTCTTTAAGGATAATTTATCTCTGTTCCCAGTTAGACCCTAAAGAGTCCAGAGTCATTTTCTAAATTCAAAAAAACTTTCCACAATCCAATACTTCACAGTACAATGAGATCATGAATTAAGGAGAAAAGAAGCAACTCTGACATTCTTGTTTAATTTTTCTTTGTGGAATAAACTATAGTTATAACAGACTCATTCATTCTCTCACATATTGTTGCTGTTCTTATATGCCATCAAGGTGACTAAGACATTGATCCTATGAACCTGGCTCTGTCCTGAGCCAACTTCACCATCGCTGACACACCTGACCACATTTCCATAGTCATTGTGTGACTATCCGTGACGTCAAGGGTCTTCCTCTTTTGCACTGACCCTCTACTCTTCTGAGCATGATGTCCTTCTCCCAGGATTGGGCCCTCCTGACAACCTGCAGTAGTGTATGAATATTAAGATACATCCTTGCCTTCCAAGATTTGTTTTTTAATCCATTTTGTGAGACTAGAATCTGGGTATGAAACAATCAAGCAAATAATAATGAACAGTGTCAAGTTTCAAAACAAAACTGTGGAAGCCTGTTGAAACACCACCACCAGCTGATATATTCAGGATTTATAATGACAAAGAAATAACACCTGTGAGAAGTTCACATGAAAATTTAGTGTTTACAATATAGGTGGTGTTGAAAGAAAGAAGAGGACATTATTACCCAAAAAGGACACTTGGACCTGCTCAAAACCAGAGTGGGATAGGTGGGAGAGGGGATATTTTTGGTAGAACTTATCAGAGCTGTGTCATGGAATATTTTCTGAGCCTTGTTAACATACTTTGTTTTAAGTAGAGAAGACCCATGATTAGATTTGTATTTAGAAACATAAATCTGGCTGATACATAGTATTGTGGGGGCAGTGAGGGGCAGAATAAAACTGTAAACAGGGAAAACATTGTATTGATCAAGTTGAGGGGAGCTGAGAGTAGCCTAGTCTATGTGTGACAGAGTAGAAGCAAAACAGAGGCAGGATAGAATACAAAAGGGTGATGAAGAAGTAGGATGGGAGTGTAAATGGTCAAGGATGAGGTCCAAAGCTTAGCTAAGCAACCGGCAGGCTGTAGCTGGATGCAGTGGAGATAGGGTTGAGGACTAGGCTGTGAGGGGTGGAAAGTGTTAGTGACACAGTAGAGACATCAGAGGGGGTTCTACATCTATCCCCTTCAAAATCTTCAATCTGTTCAAATATTCACAAACTACAAATAAGGCACCTCAATAGAAGGACGATGTAGATGGCACAGGACAGCTTGATTGCATTATATACAAGGTCACCACGAGTCAGAACTGACTCAATAGGAATTAACAAAAATAAAATCTGTACTTCAAATAATAACTTTGAGATGAAGAGAAACTCAGGGAGAGGGAAAAACCTTTTCATGAAGATATATTCTAGTTGTGTTCTAGAATACTTATGAACCATGTTGTTGTTGTTGTTGATTGCCTTCAGGTCGACCATAACTCATAGAGACCCTACGAACAAAAGGCCCGAAGCCCCTCTACAACTATCAACATTTATAGAGTTTCTGGAGGCATGTTATTTAGGAAGTGGATGACACCCATAGATAGTACTGTGTTTTTAACATATCTGCTTATTGAAATGTGTTTTTTTTTATTTAGTGACTTGCCATGTGATTTATAGCTTCCTGATTAAAACAAGCTTGGAAGCAGGAGTGGCATCCACTTCTGAAATGGCTTGCCTCGGGAAACTCTATGAACATGGTGAACAGCATTTGGTGAAGCTTCCCAATTAAACAAGCCTGGAAGCAGGAGCAGCATCCACATCCGAAACGGCTTGCCTCCAGAAACTCTATGAACAATGCTCAGGCCTTTCGTTCATAGGGTCACTGTGAGTCATCTACAGCTTGATGGCATCTAACATCAATAACGACAACGACAGAGAGAGAGAGCTACGTTGGCCTAGTGGTCAGAAAGTTATGCTACCAAGCCCAGGGTGAGTGATTTTAATCTGTGGCCCTTGGCCAGGTTCAAATTGTTTTCCTGTCAAATGTTCTTCTAGGTGCTATAGCACTGGTCTGTGTGTTGCTGTACGGAGGTAACTCATGGTTGCTGTGATGCTGAATGCTGTGACACTGATGTGCCAAATGCGATAATGGTTACCCATGGTGAACAGTATTTGCTGGAGCTTCCCAATTAAACAAGCCTGGAAGCAGGAGCAGCATCCACGTCCAAAATGGCTTGCCTCCAGAAACTCTATGAACAATGCTCAGGCCTTTCATTCATAGGGTCACTGTGAGTCGTCTATAACTCGACAGCACCTAACAACAACAACAACTAATTTCTTTAACAGAGGTTGATATCTCACTTTTCTGAAAATGCATACTGTTTCGATCAACATCGATTTTATGTTATTTTTTTAACTAGGCATAAAAAAAATTCACCCTTTCTTAGAGGAGTTTGGATTGGTTTGTATAAGGTTGTTTTATATTAGTAAACACAGCAACTTTTAGAAGGAAATGCAGTAGGAGACAAAAGTGCTTAGTCCACAAAAAAGAGAATTTAGAAAAATTTAGAATTGAGATACGTATTTTTGAGTGCAAAGAATACATATTACTGACCTCTCTACCTTAGGCTGAGGGACTCCTGTTTGAAAAAAACAAAAACAAAACCCAAACGCAGTATTTTAAATAAACTATATATGTTAGTGTGCTTAGTATGGCCTTGTGGGTAAGAAGTGGTACTGCCAACCAAAGGCATGTGGTTCACACCCACAAACTGCCCTGAGGGAGAAAGATGGGCAATTTTCTCCCATGTGATTTACAATCTCTGAAAACTCACTGGAGAGTCAGCTACCAGATGGCTCTAACTGGAAGGCACATACAACAATAAGAAATAGTTAATGAGTGGTCAAAAAACATACATGACTTCCAAAAGAAACTTTTGATCAATATTTTTTTCTTTCATTACTTTGAGTCAGAACCAACCTATAGCTGACCTTCCTTTGACTTTTCGGAGGCCGTAAATCACAGGAAAGGACATTGTCTTTTTCTCACAGAGTCATTGGTGGATTCAAACCAGCTGCCTTTGGATTGACAATTGAAATCTTTACCCAATAGACCACCTCAACGTCAAAAACTCAGAATTTGAACTCATTGTCCAGTGAGTTGGAATTGATTCATAGATGATCCTCCAGTGAGTTTCCAAGGTTGTAAATCACATGGACTGGCGATGGTTTCCCCTTGGAGTCACTGGTGAATCTGAATGCAGAGGTGAAGTCTCGTAGTTAGCATCACAGCCCCCTACAACTATGTCACCGGATCAGTATAAGTAACCCGTAGTTATCATTCTAATGACACAACTCAGACCTTTAACTTAGTGCAGTTGAAATTGTATTTGATCACTGTGAGCATTATATTTAACCTCTGCAAGTGAATGGAAAAAAATTAAGTATTTATGGGTATAGCAATGCTTTAGTATATGTTCTTAATGAAAAGAAAAATCTATGAAGTCACAGTTGCCTGAAGATAAGTTGTATATCTCGTGTTAAATCTACAGCACAGGCATTGCTAGAACAATTGGTCCTTACCTAAGGCAGAGAAAATCGCTGCAGCCCAGAACATTTCTCCCATTAGGGCCGGGATGAATAGCAGTCCACCCATGCGTTTTCCATAGATTTGCTGAAACGGGTCTAACATTGTCACATATCCTTTGGAACGCATAGGCTTAGCAAAGAATAGACCACCTAAAGCAAATTAAACAAGTGTTTATGAAACACAAAGTATTGGAAAACAATAGTATTTTCTAACCTTTCTCTATGCTACAATTACTTTAAAGAAAGGATTTTTTAGAACGCAGACATGTGCTGATGAACCAGTCTCGTGAGATATTTACTGTTTGAGACGATACATTTCTTAATACACTTAACATTGTACGCATCTAAACAACAATTGGATGGCATTTCTGAAACATAAACTGGAAAATGTTGCCTAGCATAGCATTCACTAAAGTGATTTGATACATTTGATTTTCCCAGAATACTAATTTGACATTCTGAATAAGCACAAAATCAAATAAAAGCATTTTGAGCAAAATGTGACTTCACTGTTTATGCATTCTTCAAAAAATACAATATATTTTACCTTTTATTAATTTGGTTTAGAAAAATAACTTCAGGTACAATTCACATTGATTCATTTTTGATTATATATTTTTTAAGTAAAACATTATGTTAAGAAATTGAGCATTCTAACAGCCATAGGGTAAAAAAAAGGCATTAAAGATATATTACTTACTCAAAAGATCAAATAAACTAAGCTATACAGCAACTTCCTGCAACAGATGCTTATATATTTATGAGAACACATTTTTTACACAATAGGTGTTCACACTGCAATTATAATTTATTATTTTACTTGTTATTTTTACCCTTTTATTCATTTTGCTTTACTAAGTCACTAAGATTGAAACTTCCACTTACCTAAAATCAAACTTAGAGAGTATCCGATTGGTGCTTGAGCCCAAGCGAGCCCATAATCTGGTACATACACTGCTTCAGCAGTCCCGTTGATATAACCTCCTCCAACCCAGGTGGCTGTAATAAAAGAAGACTAAGAAAATGACACCCTTTACCTGTCACTTCCTACACTTGTTTTGTCCAACTTAGTAGCTACTACTCTAAGGAGCTCTAGTGGCCTAGTGGTAAGAAGCTGCACTACAATCACAAAGGCACTTGATTCCAATCCTGCAGATGCTCTGAAGGAGATGCATAGGCAATCTCCTTGCAATTTATTGCCTCTTAAAACTCACTGGAGGGTCAACTATAGGTTGATTCTGACTGTATGGGAAATGACAACAGCTAATAGCTATTGTTGTTGTTGAGTACCATAGAGTTGGTACCGACCCATAGCTGACCCCGCAGTGGTTTTAGTGGGTTTTCAGAGGCAGTTAATCACAAAGGAGGAGATTGCCCATCATTCTCTAATGGGGCAGCTGATGGCCTCAAACCATGTGTCTTCAGGATTGCAGCACAGCTTTTTGCTACTAGGCCACCAGAGCTCCCTAAAATCTTTTAGCACTTGAAATATAACTAGACCAAATGAAGATGTTTTCTAAGTTTAACATACATACTACATTTTAAATATTTAACTATTTTGAGTATTTACTGTTGTTGTGTACCATAGAGTCAGAACCGGCCCATAGCTGACCCTCCAGTAAGTTTTGAGAGGCAGTTAATCACACGGGAGGAGACTACCCATTCTTCTCTTGCAGAGTAGTTGGTGAATTTGAACTGCACACCTTTGGGATGGTAGCACAGCTTCTTGCCACTAGGCCACCAGAGCTCTTTAAGTATTTTAAGTATTTAGTTTAGAAAAATGAATATAAAGCGCCTCAATATGTTTTTGTACCAGTTGCATGTAAAATAGAACATATTAAGTTAAATAAAATTACACTGTTAATATTAACTCACCTATTAATCTTACTAATGTTTACTCAAAAAACTGTTGAATATCAAAACCTGAATATTACATTTCTGTTGAACACATTTCTCTTAGTCAATTTTGCTCTAGATATTTTCAAAATTGTGTTTAATTAGCAAGACTTTTAAACACTGTTGCTGAAATATAAAGTCTGAAATCATAGAACATATTATATGTTTATTTGCATTACCAGTGCCTCTGTGTTTTTATCCAAGCCTACATAACAATCAATCATCTTTTTTCCCTAATGCCTTTTAGTTCTTATTGTATTTATCTCCTCACATTAATCATGACTATGGTTCCAAGGAATGAAATGGTATGTATTTGTGTGTATACAAATGTGTACTATCAAGAAAGACATCATGTTTGGAAGGATGGAGAGTCAGTGCAGAAGAGGAAGACACAGAATGAGATGCACTGATACAGAGGCTGTAACAATGGGGTCAGGTGTGTCAGAGACAGTGAGTTTGGCTCAGAGTAGGACAAGTTTCGGAGCAATTGTTCATAGGGTCTCTGGGTTGTAGTCAACTGAATAGCACATAACAATAATATCTTAAACTTTATGAACATATGATTTTGAAAACTCTGGTCTGAATGGCAACATACTTACATTTCCAAATTTAAATTAATAGGAAGAGAAAAGCAAGGGAGAGATGGCAGTTCTATTCCTAAGTATTTCTCTTTTTCATTATCTCGTCCCTCTCTCTTCTCAACTACCTACACATAGGGTCCACACTAGCTTTCATAATCACTTGTGATGCTGATTGTACAATTCTTCATTCTAACGACTCTTTTGGTAGGATATTTGATGAAGTATAGGGAATATAAAGACCTAAGTATTCGTCATATATTTGCAAATTAAATTTCTGTAGTATAATAGCAAGAAGAAGAAAGTTCAAGGAATGAAAGATCTGAAGAAAAGAAGTTGTGTCTAGACAAGACTGAGCCAAGAACAGTCTACCAACTCTTACCATTTTTTTTTGTGAGCAGATAATACAATATTTGAATATTGCTAAAAAAAACTAAGGTTGAATCTTTGCAGTTTATATTCTTTTAAAACTATAGTAAAAATTAAAATGACCACTATGTAGAAACTGAAAAATATTGAGGATTATTGACTGATAAAAAGCTTAATTATTAAGGATGAAACAGTAAAATTTTGTGATAAATCTCTACAATCTTAAAATAAGTTTGTAAATAAAGAAAAGATATAATACATATAAAAACTATCTAAAATAAGCACCTGCTTATGTCTTCCAATTCAGTACAAACTAAAAAGAATACCCTTGGATTAACACTACCTTCAAAATTATTACCATGAATAAGCCTTGTTTAGATATAATTTACATAAATTTGAATATAAACATATATACAAATTTCTGAAAGGAAATGTACATATTTAGCAATATGTACTTCTGTCTTTATAGTAGTATTCATATAGGTTGTTAACACCAAATGCTATTATTTATTTTTCTCATTTGAAGTCCTTATGAAATTCTGCATTTATTCTGTGTTTTTAAAATGGTTACATATTTTTTTCTTGAAAAGGAGTGGTATGAAATCAATATATGATGAAATTGATTATTTTTAGGCTCACTACTAAGACTTGATTTTCTTGACTAGACAACTCTAGCTGCTATAACACCAATAATGTTTCATTACACAAAATAAATTGTCTCATGGTCATGCAAGTATAAAGCTGACTAGTGATCATTTTTCATTTTGTAGGTCTTCTGTCTCATGTTCAAAAAGAAAATTGGTGCTTGAATGATTGTAACAATTACAATAAAATAAATAGTTGGTTACTTATTACAAATAAAGGAAGTGCCTCAGTTTATTTTAGTGAAGTCCCATCTATGCCAAAATTTTATTTTATTTTGCTTTATGTCAGATTGATGAGTGAGAAGAAGAACTATTTTAAATTATATGCAATTATCAAGAATTAATATTGTCATCTCCTATCACTAAATATTGATAGTATTGATCAAGGTTCTTTCTGAGCACTGAGATTTTTTATTTAAAAAGTTTTAAAAACTGAGATACACTTTGGTATCTTTAAAGAATTATGAGTATAGAAAAATATTTTAAATAGATTGACTAGCCTGTTAGCTTAAAACAGCACTCTAAATAATAAATACATTGTGTACTATTACCTTTAGGAAGGTAGAATAAACAAAATTAGGCTGGAGTAAAAGACTATTATAGTCATTTATGCTGTAGAAAATGATTTCACATACAGTAAGCCATCCATTTCCTTCAACAGGTTTCCTCTTCAATTCTACTAATAACATCAGTTGATTTTTCTTTGTATATTGTGATTTTACACTATTTTTCTCATATTCTTTGTTAAAGAACATATCTGAGGAGTGTAGAATCACAATGATTTAATTCCACTTCAAAGATGTATATCATATCTCAATCTCAAAGGAAAAGACTAAATGCTTGTGTTGTAATAAATTGAGGATTTAGAGTTGTGCATATATTTTCAATAGGTAGATAATAAGAGAAAAGGCATAGGAAGAATTATATCAACATTTCAGTAAACTTATGTAGAGTAGGTAGGTTTATCAATGATTTTTATTTTATTGCATATGCGTTCTGTATTCTTTGCTTTTTTCCATGTTATTCCATCCAATGTCTGTTATTAGGAAAAGTTAAGTGGAATTATAAATCATTTTTCATAGTACAATTTGTTCTAAAAGAGAAATTGAGGATAGTAGAAGATTTGTTATAGACAATATACCATTATAAGCAACCAAAATGATACTGGTTTAGCATTAGTAAACCAGTTTACAATTCATATGCTATACTGTAGAGCGGTTCTAGGCTTAACTCCGAGGAGACTTGCTTTGGTCCTGCCTCTGGTCCTCATAGACCAAGTAACCCTGGGATCCTAATTGGTGAAAAGTTAATCGTAAAACATTTTTTTAATTAAATTGAGTAAATGAAAGACAAAGCTATACATTTTTTTTTCCCTAGAACCTTCTAGGTTTTGGATGGTCTTTAAACCCAGGCATTCAAAACACTTCTTCAGACCTCACAGATTGATTTGGGAATACAAATAAATATAAGATGAACAATCTTTCCATATCACTTTAGAATTGAAATTGTTTATTTTGGTATATGATCTCTTAGGGGCAATATTTCTAATGGGAACTCATAGTTCTTCTTAGTATGAATTATGTTTCCAGTGCCATCACATCTATTAAGACTCTATAGTGAATTAGTTGTTGTTAGTCAATATGCATAAAATAAGATTAAAGATAAGATTTTTAAATTGTTTTGTTCAGAATGGCTTTTTCCATGACAAAGAAGTACACAAAATGAAACACGTCATCAGGTCACCATGTCACCAAAGAAACAGAGCCACCTCCAGAGCAAGAAAGGGAAGACTACCAAACCTCTCCTAAGCACAAAGAAAGGTGGGGAGGGGGGAGGTGGAGAGAACCAGGCAGATGATGACTGAGGGAATTCATGCTATGACACACCCTAGCTCTTTTCCTTCTAAACTAAGCTTCCTGGAAATAGTTTTTCCCTATGTTTTGCATAAATTACAAGTGCTTTGGCTTCTGTGAGGAAATGAATTTATTAGATAAGAGACATAGTAGTTCTCAAAATTAATATGAAATCATTTTAACTTTAACTCCATGCATGTATAAATGAACATGCTGAATTTGTCTTTATAACATTAACAGTTATACAACCTGTGATCCTAAGACACTTTTTGTACTTCCATCCACCTCTTTCCTGTTTCCACTCACCAAACAATCCAGATAACTAGGATGGCTTCATTACATTTTCCCCAATGATTTATGGTAAACTCATTTTGCTCAAGTGCTTCTGAGCTGAAATGATTTTCTTTTCAAGTTTCAAAGAGATGTAAATACCTTTTTTAAGGCTTAAAATTAACACAAAGAGTCCCTAGAGAACAAAGAGCTTCATTTGCTTTGCTACTCTGAAGCCACAGGCTGTCCACTCAAGAGGAGTCAGAGAGTGGGCAGGTAGCACGGGACAGAAGATGCCTGATCTTACCTGTCATGGTAAATCCACCCACCAGCAAACCAATGTCTCGACCACCAACGATGATGGCTTCACTTCGTTCTTCTGCACTACCACTATTTTTGGTTCTCCAGGCAGCCCATATTCCAACCAGCAATATTAGGAGGTAGAACACAATGATAGCTATCAGTCCTTCCACATGGAAAGCCATTTTTATCTAGGAGTTAGGATTCTTCTGTAGCTTGTTACTTCATTAAGACTTCTAAAGAAAATACAATAATGCATTGTACACATAGGTTACTAGGATAAGTCAGCTGTTTCAGAAGACACTTGCTGCGACTTAGAGAAATAATACGTTGAAATCACATCTTGAAGGAGTAGTTACCAACAATTATTCTAATGCTAATTAACAATTTAACACAAATTGCAGTTTTCAAGAAAAAGAAAATTCCTGGAAATTCTATCTAATAGGCAGCATAATCATTTGTGTGTTTAATAAATATTTTGAATTGAACCTTTGAATTGTCTTAACTCAGCTGAGAAATCACAAGATCTGAATCTATATTAGCTTAATGGAACTAAGTTACTGGTAGGCCTACAATTATTCAGTAATATCCTGAGAATAAAGGAAAAGAGACACATTCATTCACTCATCTATACAGCCTTTCACACAGCTTCAGGAAGTGGTTCAAAGAGTAATCGGACATGCAAATATCCTGGGGAGGGGAGCAACTTTAGGAAAATTAATTTCAAATCCACCTTACCTTCACATTTTCAACAAGTTTATTTCAAGTTCTTGTAACAACCAAAGATGTTTTTGTTCTTTGAAAGCTCCACCCCCTTGATTGATTAATTCTTCTTCCCCACTGTCTTTCATTTCTCCCACCCTCTGTTTACCATTTGTACAGGAAAAAAAGTAGTTTAAAAATACGAGATAGTCTAATAATATAACACTATAACACCGGGGCATGGGCATGAAAAACATTAAGAGGACAGATGTCAAAGTTCTAACGCCTTCTTCTGAAATTGTTGGCCTTTTCGTTGTTTTCCCCAGAGACCGTGGTAGTTTTAAGAGCCTCTATTTACCCAAACAAATTTCTGCTTGACATTTAGATTATTGTACACAAAGGCCGGTAAGAAAGCAAAATGGACAGTAAAAGAACTAGGGGCTCAAGGGACAGTCAACAGACCTCATGCTGTTCTCCTTTTGTGAACCATCAGCTTGTTCCCCAAGCATTCTTTTCTCAGATTTCTTTTGGGGTTCCCTTCTCTCCCTGGCTGCCCCTCTCCAATTCCTCTGTCCATCTATGCCTGGACTGTGGCTTTTCTCCCTTCCCTAGCCGCTCTTCTCAGACCCGAAAAAGTCCAGCATGCGGGCAATAAATTTGTCACTATATACTCACTAAGAGGCAGAAGAGCCGCACCTATTCCTCCTAAAAACTCCCGAGCTCAGTCCCCACACTGTCTCCAAAGCGCAGGTGCTGGGGCGCGGGGGATCCCCGCCAGGTCCTACCTGGAGTGATCAGCGAGCGGAAAGCACTCTCCAAGGTCCGCTTCTTTCTTTGCGCCAGAGAGAGCAGATGGAGCTGGTGGGCTGGGAAATGTGTGGTGCGGGGATCAGGGGCACAGTGGGAGGCAAAGCTGGGGCAGCAAGCAGGGTTGGGGTCCAGGCGGCAGCCACGCCCGCAGGTTTAGGGCGGAACCTCACACACCTTCTCCAACAATTTCTGAGCTGCACTGAGTTGACGGGTGTAGGGTGGTGGCAGGCGCAGCCCTGTGGGGAGGGCGCGGACAGGGGAGGGAGGTGAGGATCAGAGTATTAAGAAAAGTCCCCTTTATATCGGAGGCAGGCGGGGGCGATCGTCAGAGCTTGAGAAGCGGACGTCAGAGCAAAGTGGTGGTGGAGCGTGTGAAGGGGACCTTGCCCTCGGTGAGGAGGGTGTGGTGTGCGTGTGTGCGCGCTTGGGGGTGGAGGGAGACAGGAACTGAGAGGTTAGGAACTCTGACCCTGGAGCCAAGGATGGCAGGTGGGAGGAGGAGGCCAGCAGAGGGAGAGAAGGGGGTCCTGGAGTCTAGGAATCCATTCTGGTCTGGTGCCTCCACTACAGCCCTGAGGGATGCTGGACATATCCCTTCCAAGCTCACTTCTCTCCTTCGGAAAAGGAGGGCGTGATTCCTTACTATCTACCAATTCTAACTTCCCGTGACTCTGATCGGAAACACTAGCGATGAGGAGGGTGGGGAGTGGGAGTTACGATGGCTGTTCCAATTCATGTAGAGTCGCTCTGCTCACTCAAAGCCCACGCCTGCATCCCTGAGGGTTCAAATCCACCAGCAGCCCTGGTCCCCCTTTAGGTTTACCACTTGGGAAAGCAAATGGAAGGTCAGAGAGATGAGTGAATTCCAACTCGCCTTCAATGAGTTTAAGTTTGAGGGGATATCAGAGAAATATACCCTATGGTGGAACAGGTAAGATCTCTGGGGTGGGTCTCATCCCACACTGTAGTCCAAATAGTTTCTTAAACTGCCTCTCTTGCTGGAAACAGGTTGTCTCGCACCACCTTCATTGGTCCTGGGAGTGGAGGCTGTTTCTGGTTTGGTTATCCTTGGGGGATGAGTTTTCTGAAGGACACATTTCAGAAAGGATTTGAAAGTAATTTTTTTTTTAATTGTGCACTCATACTTACAGAGGTAAAGACCTTATTAGGTTGTCAAAAGCAGAAAAGAAGTAATAATGTAACATCAAATGAGGGAGCTCTGGTGGTCTCGTGGTGAGAAGCTGTGCTGCAGTCCCAAAGGCATACAGTTTAAATCCAGAAGCTGCTCCACTGGAGAAGACTGGACAATCTCCTTTGTGATTTATTGCCTCTGAACACTGGCTAGAGGGTCTGCGAGTAGTTGCTTTTGTCTCAATGGCCAGAACAACAATGTACAAAAGCAGAAAAGAAGTAATACTTTTCTATACAAACCAACAGGATTGTTTATAAAAAAAAAATCCCATTCTAGTCATAGCATACAAAAATAGCTCTATTTGTTACTATGTCCTTATTGCTATCAATATTGCATCTATACTTAGCTATCTCTGTGTATTATTCTATATCTATATAAGTAGATAAACACCAGTTGCCCCACAGAGAACATTTTGATGTAAGGCAGCATCAGGTATGTCAAAGCAGAATTGTGCTCCACAGAATTTACAGGCATTGGTTTTCTGAAAGAAGGTTAAAAGGGTTTTCTTCCGAAGTGTCTCTGTTTGGCCTCAAACCTCCAACTTTTTGGTTATTGGCTGAATGTATTAACTGTTTTCACTATCAAATTGCTCTAATACATAAAGTAAATATCTAATTATGAAATTTGACAGCAGAAACAATTAATTGATATATTGGTGGCATAATGCTTAATGTACAGGGTTGAAAAGGTTATGACTTGAGGTTCTCATTGACTTGATAGCACTGGGCTTCTTCTTGGGATGTATATACCTTTTGATAGAAAGCTATGGTCTAAGTGGTAGGGAATTGCATTCCCAAACCCATAGGTGAGTGATTCAAATCCACCATCTACTTCACAGAAGAAAGATGTACGTACAGTCTCCACGAGTGCATCTTATAGGCTTTCGAACTCTACACACACACACACACACACACACACACACACTGCCTTAGTTGGTAAGGAATTATACTGCCAACACAAAAGTACATAGTTAAAATCCATCACCTTCTCTGTGAAAGAAATATGGACCAATCTCCTCCTGTGCAATTTACTGCCTCTGAAAATTTCTTGCTGGAGGGTCCCTTATGAATTGATATCCAATAACAACTGCTATACTAATAGATATATATAGATAGGTAGATATAGATAGATATATAGATACAGATATAGATATATAGAGTTAGTTACAGAAGAGTTATAGAATATTTATAGTTAAAATTGAATATCTAAAAAATAAGAGTTGCTAGGAGTTGTACTCAACTCAACGGCACCTAACAACAACAACAACAACAAGAGAATAAGTATTTATCTCATTTATTAGGTATACTTTTGTTGTTTTTAGGTGTCATTGAGTTGAGTATAACTCAGAGCAACTCTATGAACATCAGGTCTGAACACTGCCCTGTGTTGTGCCATCCTAACAATTTCTGACATACTCAAGCCCGTTGCTGTGGTCACTGTGTGAACCCACTTTGTTGAGAGTCTTCTCTTTTGCTGACCCTCCTCCTTTCCAAGCTTGATGTCCCTCTCCAAGGAATAGCCTCTCTTAGCAACATGCCCAAAGTATGTGAGACAAAGCTATATCATTTTTGTCTCCAAGGAACATTCTGGCTACACATTAGACTATAAGATTTATTCTCAGATACTACCTACCTTTTTCTAAGTAAAGTTTCAGAGCATCTCCCATTCGGAAGTGGACATTCAGAATTGTGTCACTACTCTTTTTCTATGTCCTCTCTATAAACAATAAACACACAAACACGTCATTAGAGCTGAGAGAACTCACGGAGTTCAAAAGAAATTAAAACAAGGATTGTGAACCTGCCTATATTATATAGCAAATATGACTAATTTACTTTTTCTGGACAACTTTCAGATTTTTTAACAATATAACCTTACATGCCTTGCTGCACTGCTAAATAAAAGGCTGTATGTCTATAGCAATTAGAATTCACCAGCAGCTCTGAGGGAGAATGAAAGACAGTTTCAAGTTGCAACCTGATAAGCCCAATTGAGGATCACTATGTATCATCAGATGTGGCATAAAGATTGGAAGAAGACTCATCAACAATAAAGATTATGCAGATGATATAACCTTGCTAGCAGAAAGTCAAAAAGACTTACAGCACTTACTGAAAAACAAAAACCAACCATCATCTTCAATATAGATTACACTGCAACATCAAGAAAACAAAATTTCTGAAAATTAAAATAATAAGCAACATGAAGATAGATGGAGAAAAGATTGAAGTTGTCAAAGATCATTTTACCTGAGTTCCCAATTAAGAAAGACTTTAAACCAAGTGGATCCCTACAATGACCCTACTCGTGGTAGCAGCAAAAAAGAAATCAAAAGATGTGTTGCATTGCAAAATCTTCTACCAATGACCTCTTTGTGCTAAAGACACAGATGCCAGCTTAAAAACTAAAGTTTGTTTTTTTTAAACCATAGCCCAATAAAAGTCATCCTATTTTCCATTTCTTCATATGCATGAGAAAGTAGAACAATAAGAAAGATTGAGGAAGAATTGGTACCTTTGGACTGTGGT